TCACTCTTTCCTTGTGTGGCACATCCCACTTGGAGTGCTCCTTTTTGGGAGAGTGTGCCCTTATCTCTGGACGTGTGCCCTGGGATGTCAGGCAGTATCTTCTCCAGGGCTGGGAGTGAAGACTCAGCCAAGTTCTGACTGCTTATAGCCTGGCACCCCCAGCATGGGAAGAATTATCTGGCCTGCTAAGCAATATTAATTCTTCCTCCAGTATTGACTGTTTGATTTATACCAGCACTGGGTGAGCCCTGGGAATTCAGAACTGACTCAGACCTTTTTCCCATCTTCTTGGGGCTCACTGGGTGGAAAGTAAGATGACTTCAAAGCATGTAACTTGATTGACAGCACATTAAGTACCCTCTGAATGGTGTGTATGGTATATATGAGGGGGAAATTATCAATTCTTCCTGGGGATCTGTGAAGTTGTCTGAAAGAGAAAGGGACACTTAGATTCAGTAATGGCAAATGAAAGGAATTAACAAGGCAAATACTGTTAGGAGGGCTTACAGGTGGTTGGCCAGAGGAGGGGGTATGGAAAGGCATTCTAGGCAGCAAGTAAAGCTTGTGCAAAAATGTAGAAGTGTGAAACAGTTATCCCCTTTTTCCAATTCAGATTCTGCACAGCTGCTACAGTGGGTACTAAGTGTTAGAGGAGGGTGGTGCAGGCGAGGAGATGGTAGAAGCAGGTCAGACCATAGTGGACCTTGTGTGCCATGGTGAGGAGTTGAACTTGATCCTGTGGGGACAGAAGACTGCCATCATGAGGCTTTAATTAGCTCTGTGCTTTGATTTATGGGCACAGTCATGATGAACAAATGATAGCCCATTGTGCTCATTTTGGGGAGTTATAAAATCACTTTTATAAGTTAGGGGATGTGTTAAGCATTAGTACCAGAGGGGGTACATTATAATGCAACTCATCTTCCCTTCAGTACTCTCATGGCCTGGAAGGTGACCAGAAAGAATCCTTTAATAAAGGGAGCACAATTTCAGTCAGATTGTGTAATTTCTCAGTGCTAAGATTACTTCTCTAGGTGGTCCAACCAGGTGAAGGTATAAAGGTGTGTTGGTGGGGGGCACTGGGTGTGTCCTTGCCCAGTCTTGCCTGACAGCCCAAGACAGGACAGACAGCAGGCTATGTAAAGAGTAAGAGCAGTCTTTGTGCAGTGCAAAAAAAGGCCATTTACTATGCATTGATTTTTTTCCCCCCATTCATACCTGTACACAGATACGGATCTATCAGGGTGTCATTTTTGAATACTGAGTTAAGCAATATCAGAGTTAAGATAAAAATCAATGGTTTAATTGATTAAATGAGCACAGGGCTACACACATGATGATAGCTCAGTAACTGATTTTTTAAAAACATGAGTTTAAAACAAAATGGATTTCAAAAATTGAAAAACACTTGGTTAAAAATCTCTATGTCTTTTGATATATCAGGAAAGATTAATATTTATAATTTCTAATTTATAAATTAAGACATTCTGTTCACTTGACCTTTTAAGCAAAGTTTTATAAGTAAGCCGCAATAGGCCATGAACGACATTAGTTATCTGATATTAAAGTGTTCTCAGAGAATTTATTTTCCTACAAAATTATTCAGATAGAGTAAAGAAAATTGCTTTACTCAGTCGGGGTTGGGGTGTAGTGGGCCGTTGACTTTGAATACTTTATTAAGCTCTACATTTTTTTAAAAATGGGAAGTATTGATTTAAGGCATTCTGAATCATTTATTAGATCAGTATATTGCTTAGAAACTAAAAGATCTGGAGAGTTTGTGCTTCTGTACAAGTCTACAGATAAACTGAGATTGGAAAGTACAGTCTGGTGTTTGGAGGCAGGCATGATCTTGGGCGGGGTGAACCAGAAGGCTGGGTTTGGCTTCTACTTACACCACCACTGCTAGCTGTGGGCTTTGAATCTATTACTTATCTTTATCATCTTCATCTTCCTCATTTGTAAAATTATCCCAACAACACATAACCTTCCTGACCATGCATATTCATTTTGAGAATTGAATGTTTTTTGGCCAGGTGCGGTGGCTCACACCTGTAATCCCAGCACTTTGGGAGGCTGAGGCAGGTGGATCACAAGGTCAAGAGATTGAGACTATCCTGGCCAACATAGTGAAACCCCGTCTCTTCTAAAAATACAAAAATTAGCTGGGCGTGGTGGCGCACGCCTGTCGTCCCAGCTAGTCGGGAGGCTGAGGCAGGAGAATTACTTGAACCAGGAGGTGGAGGTTGCAGTGAGCCGAGATCACGCCATTGCACTCCAGCCTGGCAACAGAACAAGACTCCATCTGGAGAAAAAAAAAAAAAGAGAATTGAATGTTTTCATTCAAACGTGAATAAAACATTGTATTTAACTTGGAAATTCTGAACAAAGTAAGATGGCAGTGTTGGTGGCAGATTCTTTTTTCAGTGACATAGTGTTATGTTCTAGCTTCATTCATGTTGGCCTGGTTTAAATAGTTTACCAAGGTTGGCAGGTTATCTACACTTAAAAATTAATTAAACATTTTAAAATTAAGTTTTTGGTTAAAATTTTTACCTGTTGGTAAATAAAAAATATATAGAAAACACAGATTTTTTTGGGAGAAGGGGGAGTTAAATAAATTATCTTTCTAATGTCTTCCAAATATTCCTTATTAAATTGTTGAAGTGGACATAGTTATTCTCTTAGGAGTATGATAAACATAATAACGATAAATTTGCCCTTACAGAGTTTAAAATGATTGTTATCAATTTATAGGTTAGGTAGGGAACTGCCTCTCAGAGAGGGTAATGACTTACCCATGATTGTCCCCAATATTCAATATTCAGCAGAAAGAAAAGACGTGGAACTAGAACTCAGTTCTGTTGCCATATTGTCAATATTTGCCAGAATTTGTTTGTTGTACAAAATAACCAGGTTTTTCACTTTTGGACATTGGTTTAGACTCAATCTAAAAACCATTAAATTAGTTCAGGCTGTACCTTCCTATCCCAGTTATGTGTAATACTGTATATATATCTAAAATATCTTATAAAAATGTTTTTATGTAATCAAAATGAATTTTCTTATATTGAAATACATTGGATTTACCACTGACAAATTTGATTTTAATCAGATTCACCTTGAGTGTTATATTAGGGAGTCAGTGAAGTGCCCCCAGAGGGTGGCAATCATGACTATAAATCCTCATTTGGGAGAAAAATGGCAGTTTGTTTTTGTCGGTCTGCATGTGCTGTGAATCATCAGCCCTGCAGTGGGGTCCTCCAGGGACTGTGGCATGCACAGCCCATCAGTGACAGCCAAGCTGTTTTGAGTGACTACTACTACTTTTTTTTTAAGAGGCAGGTTACTTTGTTTTAAAAACATGAGCCTTTAAAAGAATTCCAAAAGTAGTACACACATTGAAAAATATAATGAAACATACTGACGGAAAATGTTAAATGACTCCTAAAATTTTAGCATAGAAGTTATCTCCACCTAAAGTTTGATTTAAATCTTTTGTTCTGAATGACTTCTGAAGGGGATGGAGTCCTTGTTGCCTGTTTAGCTCACTGACTCCAAATGTAGAGAATGGGCTCTATGGTCCAAATCTACTTAATCCACATTGAGAGGGAACAGAAAAGGAGTTTGGTCCCAGTGCCTAACACAGAAAGAAATGAAATTTACCTATTAATGTAACTATTAAGAGACTTCCCACTTTACCTTCAAAACAAAAGGAGTATCATTTTCATGCCTATGAAATGAAGACTTTGTCTTCCCTGCTGCCCTGTAAGCCTCTCATTGCAAAACAGGATCTCAACAGTATTTCAGAGAATGGGACTTTTTGCCATCTGATACCTGTGAAACTCTTAAGTGATCTTGGACCTTCTCACTTGCTGTGGTTCCAGTTGTTGTGTGCGTGGAGCCTTACAGCAGGGGTCCCCAACCTCCGGGGCGTGGAACCCTATGGGTCCCTGGCGTATTAGGAACTGGGCCTCACAGCAGGAGGTGAGTGGCAGGCAATTGAGCATTACCACCTGAGCTCCGCCTCCTGTCAGATCAGCAGATATTCTGATTCTCATAGGAGGGTGAACCCTATTGTGCAAGGGATCTAGGTTGCACACTCCTTATGGGAATCTAATACCTGATAATCTGAGGTGGAACAGTTTCATCCTGAAACCATCCCCCTACCCCAGTTCGTGGAAAATTGTCTTTCATGAACCAGTCCCTGGTACCAAAAAGGTTGGGAACTGCTGCCTTTGTAGCGTCAGCTCTCCTTGAGCAACTAGCCAGGCAGTGTTGTATAGTGCTTAAGATTTGGGGGCCTGAAGTTCTGCATTTGAATCCTGGTTCCAGCACTTAGTAACTCTTGACCCTGGGCAAATAACTTAATCTCTTGGAACCTCGTTTTTCCTCATCTGTAAAATTCGGTAAAAATATTTATCAACATGCTTATAAAGTGCATAGCACAGTATTGTGGTACCTGATTAGCCCCAGCAGAGGTTCATTACAATTTTGATTTTTAGGATTAAAGTAAACATTGTATAATTTCAGTTCTGAGAATAAATTTCTCTGAGTTACGAAGCAAACTGAATTCGTGTACTGGTGTCATTAGGATGCTTTTTAATGAGAGATGGAAGGATGACCTTGAGCTTATGGCAAAGTGGTAGTGCAGGGGCTGAAGGAGAATGAGTTGTGTATAGTTGTTTGTTTATTTATTTATTTAATTTATTTATTTTTGAGACAGTGTCTCGCTCTGTCACCCAGGCTGGAGTGCAGTGTGTGATCTCGGCTCACTGCAACCTCCGCCTCCTGTGTTCAAGCGATTCTCCTGCCTCAGCCTCCCAAGTAGCTTGGACTACAGACGCATGCTACCACGCCAGGCTAATTCTTGTATTTTTTTAGTAGAGATGGAGTTTCATCATGTTGGGCAGGCTGGTCTCAAACTTCTGACCTCAGGTAATGCGCTCGCCTCAGCCTCCCAAAAGGTTGGGATTACAGGTGTGAGCCATTGCGCCTGGCTGTGTATGTTTTTGTTTGTTTGTTTGTTTGTTTTTTAAAGATAATGTCTATTATTTGAAAAATGTATTTTATTTGAAAACACTTGAGTTTGTCTAATTATGGATTAAATCCTAATATGTGACTTCGTTGAGAAAATTACTAACATTGGCATTCCAGTTTATCTCACATACTGAAATCTCCTTTTTATTTACCAGAACAGATTCCATCTCTGTCTTTTAACTGAGGTGAAAACATAAGACCTTTTTTTTGCCTTTTCCAGAATCTGTCAACACTTACTGAGTTGGACAGAAGGTTTAAGCACAGTGAGGCTTCATCTTCGTGTTCCTGAGGGACCAGAATCCTCTGGTTACAAAACCCTCAGAGCTAAATTCTTAGTGGGGACACATGTACAGTATCAGTGTACATTCAGGGTTGGTGTTTCTTGGGCTATCTGAGTAACTATGAACATTACAAAAAGAAATGAAAAACAACCAAAATCTCTTATCCTAAACACTGTAATTGGTTTCTCCAATTTCTGCTTCCTACATCTGAATGAACTTGTAAGAAGAAAATGCTTCCTCTGTAGGTGGCCTGGTCAGGTTGGCCTGATACCTGGAGTGAAAAGAATGGAACAGAGTAAAGAGCACAAATCTGGGACCCTGGAAAACTGCCCTCTAGTCCTGGTTTTGCTGTTTAATGATTGTTATAACTAAACAAGGCAGTTTGCAGATCTGGCTTTAGTTTTTCTACCTGTACACTCGGGGGTGTAGATGATCTCCAGAATTACAGAATCACAGGGTTGGAAGTAGCTTTGTGCAACCCTCCTAAAGAGCATGGACATGATCTTTGAAGCAGCCTTGACAGGTTGCCATTCCATCTCCATTTGTCTGTGTTCAGCCTTTGCTTGGCTTCTACTCTAGAGATGGGGAACTGTTGGTTTTCAAGGTAGTTTGGAGCCACTTAGTATTAGGTAGCTTTTCATAGTGTATGCATTCCTTGCCCTCCTGTAGTCCTAATTTTATGTTTTTCATCTTTTATGTGACAAATCTTTAGATATTGAACAAGAATTATGTCAGTTCTCTTTCCAGTTATACTGCAAAAGCTCTGTCTGCCCTCCCTCCCTCTTTGATGTGATTTCAGACCCTTCACAATTATGCTAGCTTTCCTGAAATGTTCCAGTTTTTCATTGCCACTTTAAAAATGTGATTCTCAGAAAAGCATATAATACTTCCGATAGGATGTGAGCAGCACAGGGCATGCTAAGAACGTTTAAAAACTGTAATTTCATGAGTACAGCCCAAGTTGATTTTTTGTTGTTATTGGTGTCTTTTATAGACAGCATCTGTCTGTGACATCCTTGATGTTTTATTTCACATGGATTGATTGCTCATAAGCAAGGCTTCATGTTATAGATGGGCAGCTTATTTCTTTGGCCCTTGGCAGTACTTTATATTTTTTCTTCCTTTTGTGAGTTATTTTATATCTGCTCCTTGTTCTGCCTGCTGAATTGTTCTGAACCTTTCATCTGCTCTAGGAATTAGTGATCCTGTCAGGCTGTTGTCTCCTTATTATCCTCACTGATCATACATTTGAGTCCATCCCAAGTGATTGATGAAAACGTTGACCAGGGCAAAGTCAAGTAGAGGCTCTTGTGGTAAACTGCTGGGGTCTTTCTACTGTCTACATTTGACTGGTGGGGAACCCTGACAGTGTTTCCAGGCTCCTATTGACAATGTGTTGTTATTCTTGGTTAGATGTAATTTAGATGGAATTTGTCTTGCTCTGAAGTCTTGAACTCAGTTTGTTTTCTCATTAATTTATCGTCTTCTATTTTGAAAATTCTGTATTTGTTTTTATGTTTATACACATTTGGATTTAGTGGTGTTAGCTATTCCCCCCCCCCCCCCCGACGATTATTATGTTCTAGTTAGTTTTTGCTTTAGTGGTCTTTATTAATACTGCCACCAACCCCACCCATCTTTTCTTTTCTTTTCTTTTTTTTTAACGTTCACAATCTCCCCATGATTTCCTGACCTAGAGTGCCTAGTACTGAGTGGTAAATGGGGGTTGGGGTGGTCTTGCTGGTGGAGTAACAGAAGGAAGAAATTTCTTAAATTAAGAAGGTTTCCAGTCTTTCTTCCAGAGGTACCGCTAAAAATACATGCCAAAGTTTTTCAAAAGACTGTAACTTTAGACATTTTAAAATATTCTGTTGGAGATAAAGTTTAAAAAGCAATTAATAAAGAGAAACATACTGAAGTGTTACTCCAGATATCCTGATGGATATTGTATGTTGAAAAGTTACATTTTAGAAAATAAAGGGTATATAGTTACCCTTTATTATGAGGTTTCATAAAATATCTCATAATTATGAGGTATATGAAATAGGTTAAAAAAATTTGAATGACATTTACCTGACAAATGGCTAGTAAAAAGCATACTGTATAAGAATGTAATGGGATAATGGTGCATCAGAAATACTACATAAATTATCTATCTAAAGAGAGGTGTCAGGGTTTTACATGGAGATAGTTTATAGGGTAGGCCACATCTGTATTATTGTGTTTTGCAACTTGTTCTTTGTAATATACTTAGCTGCATCAAACTATATGACCTTTTCTTAATTTGATGTACTACAAAAGAAACTTTAGCATAAATGTTTTCAAAATAATATCACTGCCCAAATGTCACATTAAGCCAAGCATTTTATGAATCAGCAAGACCAGTCTCCTCTTCCTGCTGTCATTTCTTTTGTCCTTCCCCTTTTCTTCCTTCTGCCAAGTACTTGCATATTTGTGTGCTTATGTTAGCAGCATCCACACTGATACCTGTTCTCTTTTTTTTCACCCTAGCTCCAGGGGTAAAAGGAGAGACTAAAAAAAAAAAATATTCTGCAAGTCTTAAATATGGGACAAAATTCAAGGAATTATTTCTTATCTTGTCACCTTTAAAATATCATTAATGGAACATGTACATCCTGAGTTTGTGGTAACAGTTAGTAGATATTTCTGTGTTTGGGATGGATGCCCTTTAGTGTAAAGTATCAAGCAGCAAATAGAGCACACACTCTGTAGAATTAAAGAACCTTAGAAAAGATGACTATAAAAATTTTAAGTACATTTAGGGGAAGGAATGATTCAATGGAGAGAATGAATTTGAAGAAATGCTTGAAGTTCTAATGTGGCTTTTAGTTACAATAGATCTTTTAAAACTACAATGGAATTTTGCCGTTATGTCACTCATTATAGTTGGAATTCTACTTTAACTAGATTGTCTTCTGATTTATATGAAACTTTAATTGCTTGAAGTATAGACTTAAGTTAAAACTTCTGTAGCATGGATTCCAGAGATTCTAGTTGTTTTTTTTTTTCCCCCAGGAAGAAAAACAGGAAATACTATGTCCAGAAACTAATGAAATGAAGGTGTTTTTAATGATGAATTTTCTTCAGACAATAAGATACTGTATGGTTTCTAGATTACAGTGCGTTAGGGCTAAATGTGGAAACTGGAACTCCAATATAAGGTTTTGCACCTTAAAGGTAAAGTATCCAGTTGTATCCAATAACAACTTAGGAAATTTAAAGTTGTTATTCCCACAATAATTATTACTTTGTCCCTATGGGAATATTTAGAATTTGCATTGTTGGGCATAATGTCTTATTTATATTTCACTGTATTTATAGTTGAACCCTATATCTAAATGAATGAGAGAAATTAACTCATTTTTGTATATAATTTAATTGTGTAGCATTCACTAATTGCTAATGATTTGCACACATGAACAAATCAAACAAAAATCTCTGCTCTTATGTTGTGCACTTAGGTAATATGGGGGTAAATGCATATATCTAACTCTGGATCTCATGGTAAAATTAAGAGAGTAATTGTGCATTGCACCAGGAATAATGTGCTACTCACAAATGGATGTCACTTGCCAAGTTTACACATCTGATTTAGAAGAAACAAAGATTTCAGACTTAATTGAGGATGCACGTCTTTGATTGCTTACTTGAGGTAACTCTAGTCCTTTAAGACTATCTTCAAACCATCAGCAGGATTTATTTTAAAAATCCTCCAATTGAGGCAGCCATTTAAAATTGAGTAATTATTCCCTGGGGTCCAGTTCTTTATTACCGAAAGTATAGAGTTTTTAGGGTTTAGAACTCTCTTGGGCTCTTAAAGCCATGTTATTTAGAAAAATTAAAATGTAAAAAATGGCCTAAGATTTCTAAACCATGTGACCTGTGGTCAGTCCTATTTCTCTTGCTATAGAGCAGGGAACCATTGTAAACAGGAAAATTCTAATCCATATGCAGCTAGCAACTTCAGCCTTTCACAGACTAACAACTAAGACCACTATGAGCCCTATAGCTCCTTTATTTCTCGCATGGGTGCCTCATCACATGGAGGCCAGGGAAGAAGGAGCCTGGGAAAAGGAACACTTTGTCTTCAGATTTAGAAAGCACACTTGGAATAGAAAAGAGAATCTTCTGAATAAAATCAGAAGGGAATACACGTCTGTAAACAAGATTCTGGAATCGTACAAAATAATTTATGCTTAGACTCTTTGCGGGTGAGTTGAAAACTTTTTTGGCCAGTGTAGATTTTTGTCATATGAGGAAGCAGTTTTTAATGCACAGCTCTTAGTTTTCAATCTTGGGAGCTGCTTGATAATTAAGTGATGTTTTTGACAGTGAGGAAATTAAATTATGTGGGAATTCAGTCCCTGAAATATATTTTTGAGTAGCCTTCCTTGGATAGTTTAACTGTAGTCTTGTCTGGCCAGAGATGAATTAGGTGATTTCTTGAGGTCTCTTCAGTAGCCATCCTGGGAGGTTTAGAAAAGGATTTTTTTTTTTTTTTTTTTTTTTTTTTTTTTTTTTGAGGCGGAGTTTCGCTCTGCTGCCCAGGCTGGAGTGCAGTGGCGCTATCTTGGCTCACTGCAAGCTCCGCCTCCCGGGTTCACGCCATTCTCCTGCCTCAGCCTCCCGCGTAGCTGGGACTACGGGTGCCCGCCACCACGCCTGGCTAATTTTTGTATTTTTAGTAGAGATGGGGTTTCACTGTATTAGCCAGGATTTTTAAAAAGTATTTTTTATACCACAGGAAAACTTTCCTTCTTGTTTCCTCACTTACTAGTTGCATTCTTAAAATGATTGCATTTTTTCCCCTTGTTCCCAATGGTTAAATTTCATTTACTTTCTGATCTTTAGGGGAAAGAATGGCATAAATTGAGGCAGGTGAAAAATTTCAAAGGGCTGCCATCGCCCTCTTGATGTTCACATTGTCTCCAGCTCCTCTAAGCCTTGGCTACCACCTCTCAAGGCAAACTCCCATCCCTGTTTTGTTGTCTTTGGTTAGGATTTGTTGGTAGGCAGTGGACCTTATGGTAGAGGAGGGAAGATGAACTTTAAAGAGAAAAGTTCTATAGCCACTATTGCTATAGCTTTTGCTCTTGCTGTTCTTTTCTGCCAGTAGCTGCCTCTTTGTTTGCTGGGAGAGAAGTAGGAGAGAGAAGGTAAGTCCAAGAGAGGAGAGGGATTTCACTGCCTCCTTTAGACTCCTTGTTCCTTTCATGGCTCTGCCCCATCTTCTCATTTTCCAAACATCCCAATCACCTAGGGAGGGAGGGTTGTTTTTTTGTCTTTTGGTTTTTGGTTGTTTTTATAAAATACAATTCTTGGGCCCCATGTTTAGCTATTATACTTAAGGAAGTCTGGGGCTTGAGTCCTGAGAATCTGTGTATTTCTTGAGTTATGCAGGTAATTTTGATGCCCAGTTAGATTTGAGAACTGTAGGATATGTTTCCCACGCTAACCTTTGGAAGTCAGGGTCCTAAGTTATAGGAGTCAATACCAGTAGCAGAAATGATTGGGCTTACAATATGACAAATAGGGCCATAAATACCAAGGGTTCCTGAACCAACAGCCAGAGCTTCTAGGAGTGAGAGACCAGTTGAACTTAACTGTAATTATCCTGTTGTGGGGGCTAGTTGCTATAATAGCTGTATTTAAGGTGTATTAACTTTTGTCTTCTTTTATATTCCTTTTAATTTGTTGATGGAAAGCTGTGTTTGAACATATGGTGGGTATACTGGTAACCTCCAACCCCCAAAGATGGGATTAATACAAAATGTATAGTTTGTTCACATAAGTGGGATGTCATAACTAGATTTTTAAAATAAATAGGATCTACATTTTTCTTCTTTGTAGTGGCCTATCTAGTGGAGTATAGTTTCTTTCATCTTTGTATTAGTGAGAATTTAAATATATTTTGATGGCATTTCTCTTTTACATTCTTCACCACAACCACCATTATCATCATGGAGAGGCTAATAGACTTTATGAGGGGCTAACTCCTCAGAGGAGGAAGAAATTATGGAGGTGGCATTTGAGCTGAGCCTTTAAAAGATGAGCGAAGATCTGCATTAGAGATTGGTATTTTCTGTTCTTGGGAGGATATTCCAGATACAGGAAAACTTGAGCAAAGACAACAGGCATGTTTGAAAAACAGCAGGCTTTGCTTCCATGAGGCCAAAGTGTAGGCTCTGTAAAACACAAGAGTAGAAGAGTAGATTAGGGACAGAGTATCAAGAGTTTGCAAGTCATTTCTGTTTGGACTTTATTCTCAGTGTCATAGTTTCTATATGGAAAGGGGCTCAGAGTTTAAAAGAGTAACTCCATAAAAATAATTGTAGCACCACATATTATTTGAAAGATTAAAGTCTTTTATTTGAATTATATTTCAGAACCTTAAAAATATATATGTGCATGTATATGTATCACACAAAGAAAATACCTTTGAAGACTTTCTCTTTATATATATAGTCTGTGGTCCTGTGAGGTCTGGGGCTTGAGACTACTGTGAAATAAATGATAACTTTGTCATTCAGTAGACAGCCTGAGCTATATTAGGGTCTTCTGCATCTCAGGGTTGGAGGCTTCTCCGTGCTTTAGCAGAATTACTCTTCCCTCCAGTCTTGGCCTCCCTCATTAACACACAGGAACTTTAAACTTTATGTCTGCAGGTCTGTGTCATTTTGCTATCTCTTTAGGGAACCACCTGCCTAACCTTATGAGGTGCTGTTCAAAACTGGTTCTGCTCTTTTCAGCAACTGATCATTATTGCATATCACTGTCTTTTAACACCTACTAAAGCTGAAAACATTTGTATACTTAATATATTAATAGTATATTACTTGTCTGTCTGTATGATGGTTTACATAAATGTAAAGCCCAGAATTTTTTTTTTTTTTTTTTTTTTTTTTTTTTTTGAGACAGAGTCTCTTACTATCGCCCAGGCTGGAGTACAGTGGCACAATCTCAGCTTACTTAACCTCTGCCTCCTGGGTTCAAGTGATTCTTCTACCTCAGCCTCCCGAATAGCTGGGACTACAGGTGCACGCCACCATGCCCAGTTAATTTTTGTATTTTTAAATAGAGACGGGGTTTCACAATGTTGGCCAGGATGGTCTTGATCTGTTGACCTCGTGATCTGCCCACCTTGGCTTCCCAAAGTGCTGGGATTACAGGCATGAGCCACCGGTGCCCAGCCAAAGCCTAGAAATTTTATAGGGACTTGGTGTAGTAATTCCTAATAGATATTGAAAGAAAGGTAAAAATTAGTTGAAAGGACTAGATCATCCTCATTCCTCACTCATTTTTCCTTAAAGAATGTATTAAGAGGCAAAGTTGTCTACAGTCTATCAAAATTTTGCTTTAACAATGTTTTCAACATTTTACATCTTTCTGGTAATTATATGAAGTCTATGAAGACTAAAAATCTCTGTCGTAATTGGTCAGAAGTAATACTACTACTTTTTTTTTTTTTTTTTTGAGACAGAGTTTCACTCTGTCGCCCAGGCTGGAGTGCAGTGGCATGATCTCGGCTCACTGCAATCTCTGCCTCCCGGATTCATGCCATTCTCCTGCCTCAGCCTTCCGAGTAGCTGGGAGTACAGGTGCCCCCCGCCACGCCTGGCTAATTTTTTGTATTTTTAGTGGAGACAGGATTTCATCGTGCGTTAGCCAGGAGGATGGTCTTGATCTCCTGAGCTCATGATCCGCCCACCTTGGCCTCCCAAAGTGCTGGAATTAGCCACTGCGCCCAGCCCCAGAGGTAATATTTCTGAGTGGATATTTGTTTTCCAAAAGCCTAAGTCTTTAAAGGTGGCATATGATACTATTATTTATCTCAGAAATCATTTATTATTTATTTATTTATTTATTTATTTATTTATTTATTTATTTTGAGACAGAGTCTCACTCTGTCACCCAGGCTGGAGTGCAGTGACGTGATCTCGGTTCACTGCGGCCTCCGCCTCCCGGGTTCAAGCAATTCTCCTGCCTCAGCCTCCTGAGTAGCTGGGATTACAGGCGCCCGCCACCATGCCTGCCTAATTTTTGTATTTTTAGTAGAGATGGCTTTTGCCATGTTGGCCAGGCTGGTCTCGGACTCCTGACCTCAGGTGATCTACCCACCTCAGCCTCCCAAAGTGCTGGGATTACAGGTGTGAGCCACTGTGCCCGGGCTCTCAGAAATCTTAAAAAGGATTTAGTTTCATTTAAAAATAACAAGCACAGTTCCACAAATCTGAAATTTATTTATTGAAATTGGATCGTGTCATCCGTGGAAAACATCTTACTTTATACCAGATTTTAAAATTATCACTGATATAAGCACAGCATAAAATTCCTCTGAGCCCCATTTTTACATAAGAGAAATTATTGAATAGGATAAAGGTAGCATTTCAAATTAGTGAGAAAAGATAGGTTATTCAATTAGTGTTGGAACTAGCGGATATATATCTAGGAAAAAAAGTACAGACTCTAAATATTGAAAGGTAAAACTGAAAACATACAAATATTTGAAGAAATCACTGGAAAATTATTCTACAAACTGCATGGGGAATGACAGTCTAATAACAATAACCAAGAGCCATGAAAGAATAGATTGGTAACAATTCAGCTGTATAAAAATCCCTACATTTCTCTGTGGCAGAAACCATGAAACAGATGAATTTACCAAACTGGAAAAAATTTTCACAAATCATGTCACAAAGAGCTAATTTTCTTAAAATACTTTAAAAAGACCTTTCAAAGTGTC